AGACTTATGTGAACATTTTGGCCGATCAAGTTCATCCCATGGTACAAACTTTGTTCCCCGATGGTGCTGGTGTCTTCCAAGACGACAAAGCCCCTGTTCACGCAGCTCACATTGTCCAGGACTGGTTTTCTGAGCACGAGGATGAGTTGTCCCATCTTTCCTGGCCACCACAGACCTGAATATTATCGAACCTTTGTGGTCTACATTGGAACGGAAAGTGCGTTCTCGTTATCCACCGCCAACATCGTTATCTGAACTTGCCACCGTTTTGCAGGAAGAATGGTATGATATTCCCTTGGCAAACATACAGGAACTGTATTTATCCATTCCGAGAAGACTGCAAGCTGTTTTGGATGCCAACGGGTTTCCTACACCATATTAAGCAAAGAAACATTTTTTTTAAAGGTGTTTCTATATTTTGTCCAACCCCTGTATATTAACGTGATATGCATACATGTTGAACTGTATCAAATATTAATATATATTAGTATAATTCTAGTATTAATATATATATATCGCAGTAAATTATTTTGTAGTTAAGATTTACATGTTCATGAATAATAATTAATTATTATTGTTAATTATCCTCTAGTTTAGAATTAAGCGATACTTTATGAATGTAAATATTTTGTAGCTTATAAAAACACTGTTACTTAAAATCATTACAATAATTTTCTCACAAGGACAAATTAAGTACCACGTTCAAAGATAAAAATATAAGTTAAGATAATTTGCAAAATTTTATCTTCAAGAAGTATTAAATGGACAAATATAAGTTTTACTGCTCTATTTAGCTACTAGTTTCGTTTCCAAGCAACAAAATGTATGAGAGCTTGGCTGCTGCCAAGTTGTCAAGATAATGCTTTTTATCTCGTATTAATAATTCCGAAATAAAAATTTCAGTTGACCTAGTTATGAGAACATTTGTTTCCGTCTTCATGTTATACAATTAGTGATTTCCATCTTCCTATGAAAGTTTACTGGTTTAAATGAAATCTAAGTATTAAGGGTCAATCTAACTATTTAACGCATGGTTCCGGTCAAAGATAACTTACTTTATTTTCTGAATTTTTGAAGTATTGTGAAATTTTGGCTAGTCATGTGCAACCGATGCTGAAATCATTCTCTGAAATGAGATAGGAAACGAGAACACATTAAATCCGTACAAGCTTAAGCATATATATATATATATATATATATCAGAAGAGCTCAAGGAAAATTTTACTTAAAGAAACCTCATCTGTTTCAGGGAGGTATCTAGCTTGTTTTAAGAAAATCACATCATTTTGATTTTTTTATCGCTAGTGATCGGGTACAATATACTTACTTATTCATGTCAATAAATGAATTCAAATGGATGGCATTATAAATTTACAAATGAAACTCTCTGCATTATTAAAAAATCCAGGTAAATAGATTCGGAAAAAAGCTATTAAAAAGTAAATAAACTGATTATATGTTTAGGGAAACCTCTCAGACAGGAAAGTGGTTAGTAGCTCTGACTGTAGTAGCGAAGAGCCCGGTTTCAAATCCCAGAGAAAGCATCGATGTAAATTGTTTGTCCCTTCATAGAATGCAACGATAGCCTACCATAATAAAGTAATGAACTACTACTTCCACTACTAAGGCCGCTTCCGACCTTATTAGTGGCCAACGCCTATACTGGCTAGAGCCCACCAATGAGAACAAGAGAGAAATTGCTTAGAGGTTGGTTATATATTTAGGGTGTATTGAATTCACTGACATCAAATGTAGAAATTTAAAAAAGCAGTTTTCTTTTGGAACAGAGATGAGCGTAATATACAAGATCTCGCATTAGAGTTTTTCTTACTTGTATTCTATTTGGCTATGAAAAATTACTTAATTTTGAAAATTGTTACTATACAAAATATATTACATAAACCTGCATATAATATAATTTCTAAATAAAAATATTAGTGATAATAACTTACACGCTATCTAAAAATGCAATTTTAAAGGTAGCACGTTAGACGGCCCCCATGTTCCACCTAGAATTACTTAAACCGGCCCTGATCTTAAGACATATAGAATTTAAGTCTTCTCTACATTCAGTTACTCTACCTTTACTTCGAGTATAACACATCTTTAATCATTTCTCATTGATCTACTATTTTACAAGTAGCTATAATCGACTTCAGTTATCACTTAAATTGATGTAAGATTTAGATCTTGTTTGAACGTTCTGCGTTGTAAGAAAGCGAATGCAAAATAATTTCGTAACTTCTTTTAGTTCGTTTTATTTAAAATATTTTCATATACTTTGTTTTTAATTTGTGTTTAAAATCGTTCAAAATTTCAAAATCTGAAGCAGTTTTTACGAGGTAAAACTTGAAGTTGGCGAGAGTTTACAAAATACTAAAAATCAAAAATTATAAAAGTAGTAAATAAAAAAGACACAAATTACAGTAATTATGAATTTGTATCTCGATTTATATTAGAAATATTGCTTAAACTAAAGGAAAAAATATATTTTATTCCCTGTTATATTCACGCGGAGTTGCGTTACCTATGATTGCAAACACTCTTTATTTTACTTTGTTTGATTTTCTTCCTCACCCCCACATATGTAATTTGATAAGTTCATTGAACCTATTATCACATTTATTTGTTATGGTAAATGACAGCATTGACAGCAGGTGGTCGACAGCATTGACAGCAGGTTGGTTGACAGCAAGACTATTCGTGGGAAATTACACAGTTATTGCTCAAAATTTGTAATTTGTATTAAACAAATTCGCCCCTTTCTGAAATCAACCCTGCTTACGACTTCCAATTTTTTCTTCAGTTCTTTTGCAAAATGTCTTAAATTAAAAATAATCTATCAAGATGTAACCCCATTCAATGTAATTAAAAACAAACTTGCATTCTGTTCTCTAGTATTCAGCTTAAAGCTTAATTAAAGGTGTTAAAAACTGATATCATTTCAATTTAAAAAGCAGAAGTCCACAAAAAATTCAAAATTTATGTTTCAGACATGAGAAATATTTATTCACATATACGTCGAATATACTATAAAGAGTGTAAAAATTCACCATTTAAAAATTGAATTTTGCTGAAACACAAATCAAGAAGAAATCTTATACATTTTTTTCCTCTTATTAAGCAAAACTAATACAGCTATTTATTTTGCCATTTAAAGAAAAAAATGCTTGTTGTTTATCTGAAAGTGAAAAAGATAAAAAAGAATAAACAGTTTCGGCATATACATTGCAACATATTTTATCATTATTGTTTAGCTTTATTAAATGCAGAATACAGAGATATTAGGAGAGTTGCAGATAAATTTTGCAGTCGAGGTACTACATAATTTTCGATGTAAGAAAAGTCTTTTATTAATGTATGCAAACGGTACATATATTTGTAAAGCAAATTATCCTTACTGAAATTAAATTAACTTAATTTTTGGAAAACAAATGAGACTTTTGAATGGAATCAACGATTCAAACAAATACACCATTAACAATCTTATTTGACTCTGAATTAAATTTTACTAAGAACTGTACCGGTTTGAAATGTTCCGCCTTTCACTTTTATAAGCAGAGTTTTGTTGCTATTGAAAAAGTATACTTTGTTTTTAATTTGTGTTTAAAATCGTTCAAAATTTCAAAATCTGAAGCAGTTTTTACGAGGTAAAACTTGAAGTTGGCGAGAGTTTACAAAATACTAAAAATCAAAAATTATAAAAGTAGTAAATAAAAAAGGCACAAATTACAGTAATTATGAATTTGTATCTCGATTTATATTAGAAATATTGCTTAAACTAAAGGAAAAATTATATTTTATTCCCTGTTATATTCACGCGGAGTTGCGTTACCTATGATTGCAAACACTCTTTATTTTACTTTGTTTGATTTTCTTCCTCACCCCCACATATGTAATTTGATAAGTTCATTGAACCTATTATCACATTTATTTGTTATGGTAAATGACAGCATTGACAGCAGTAACAATTTGAGTCTACAGATAAAGTAAAATTTCTGCAAAAGCTACGTAAGAGCATTGGGAAATTTTTTTATTAATTACAACTGTTAAGAAAGACATTTCTTACTTTTAAATCGCTTAATTTATTTAGCAGCTGCAAATTAATTAAATCCTAAAAACAAAATGGTAAACACTGTTCCGGGAACATAAATTAAACATCTTATGTTTGCGCCGAGGAAACATTTACCAAAGTGTGGGGATGTTATGTCGATAGCAGCATAATGTAGCGTAATGCAGCGGTTTTAAAGTTTTGGGAAGACTTTACTCAGAGCTTTTCTAATTTGAAAATATATGTCGCATAGCTTAGTTACAACATTTGCGTTTGGCAAAATGCAAGTTTCTCCACAAGCTGAACCATTCAGGTTTCAACAGCATCCTCCGCTGTTAACAATGAAGAAATAGCTTAAGTAGTAGAGGGTAATTGAAAATTGCTGTTGAAAGAACGATAAAAATAATTCATGACAATTGATTTTTGCCTGTAATGATTATTAAGTTTTATACAAATTTCCTATGTTTCATAATTTATGCTAACATTTAAGACGGGACTGCAAGGCAAGCCTTTTTGTTTTTCAAAATATTTTCAAAAGATATTTCAGATAGTTGTGATTCTTGCTGATTTATAATCTGCATTGGCTGCTGTTGGTTTTTATTTTTTAAATAAGGTTTTATAGAAGGTTGGATGAAGAAACAATACATTGCGAATTAAAGCTGACAATTTGCCTTACCTTTTTAGATAACAAATCACAAAAAATTAAAAAAATTGGTAAATCAAAATGAAATTTTAGATGACTTCACATTTATTTTTGCATAAATGCTGTTTCAGAAGCCGTTTATAAAATGGCATTTATGCATCACGCGTGATGTTAATGATGCTAAAGTAAAGCTTCGCCAGACATCTAAACCTCTCACGATGAGCAACGAAAACAAGGTACGTAAAGTAAAGGGAGTGTAATTTTAAGCTTTCATTCTTAATAAATAGCAATAATAAAGACCAAAAATTTATTTGAAAAATAGAAACTTTATTTTTTTTTTTGCATTGTATATACAAGTTAATCAATATAAGTATAAAATTGCAGGGTAATAAAGTAAGATAAAGAAATCCAAATAAATGTAGCAACCACACGCAGATCAAAGAAACCACAAATGTATATCAATGTGAAACAGTCAAAGAGATATTCAAACAATCAATGTCTTTGTTTACTGAAAAATTCAGACGAGAAAATTTATTCCTTCTTTCACATTTACTCATCTGCATTGCAAGTAGTGCCAAAGAAGCAAGCTTGATTGCAGGATCTTCAGACGACTTTCTCTCAACCTGAAATAGGAATAACTTAATGACATAAATGGAAAAAAGAATAATAACAAAATTCAGTTGCTGGATCAAATAATAAAGTAATAACAAGGAATTAACTTATTCAGAGATGAAAGTCTAAATATTTTGTTTCCTTTATAATAATTTATCTACAGACATATATATAAATATTTATGTAAAACAGTTATAAATTCAGAAATCTGAAACTTACCTTTAAAATGCTTTATGCAGTATCCTGAACTCTTCTTGTCTGAGCTAGAAATCGAAATAAGCAATCTTTAAACTTGGGTACAAAGAGCTCGGACTTACCTGCAATGAGATAAAATATGGAAAACCGATAGTATACTAGGAGATTTGTGCTGACGCTAAAACAGAGAAATTCAAAGATCATTTGTAATTTTCAACATATTTTTCAAAACATTTCTATCCACCAGAATCTCATTCATCTTTATGAATATGAGCGGGATCTCATCATTAGATGTATTACGAACATCCATGAATCTTTTTTGAAACTTTCACTGTTTTTAGAATTGACGCCCTTGGCTTCACCTTCATAAGAAGCTTATAGAGAGAAATAAGAGAGCTACATAACCATAAGAGAGATAGATAACCACAAAGTGGTAAACTTTTATTTAAAACTATATAAATAATTCCTTTTATCTTGTTCTATCCTAAAGCGTTAAACCAAACAATTATTTCGTTCCACAGTATTAAATGTACACGATTAAAAATATCGCCTATTATACATCTCTGTTGTTAAGGGGTGAAAATTAATAGAGAAATATTTATATCCTACAAACTCATATAGTAGAAAATCTGTCTTTCCGATTCATCGTAATCGGGCTTCTTTTTCTAATGTATTTCCGCTTCATTTGGGTTGGTTTTAAAAAATTCGAAGCATTTTATCTTTACATGATGAGAAATCACGGTTTGGCGGGAGAACAAAGAAGAAGACAGTTTTACAGCACTTGAAGTTTAAATAAATTGATGAATAAATCGATGAATAAAATTTTGAAAGCAAACTTACCTTGAAAACAAAAATAATACCTTACTTACGCGATTTTCAAAGCTTCATTTTGTAAATTTAAATACCTGCCAAGTCGGAATTATACTGGAAAGTTATATTGGATATTCAAGGAGAATAATAAATGTAGACTTCTGATATACATACGTGAAATGAATATTGGCATATCACTTACTGATTTGTAACATGATTATACAATTTTATTAGATATTTTAGCATAAATAAAACATAGTTATCATTTAATTCCCTCCAAATTCATTTAATTATATTAAGCATATACATGTAATAATAATTATTTCCATAATAGCAACATGCTGAGTGACTTTCCAGGAAATGGTGAATTTCAGAATTATGGCGTCACATTACGTCTGTACTGCCGACTAGTGATATTTTCAAACAGAGCATTTAAGAAACTGTAAAACATGCTTTTTGTTCTTCAAAATATTTCCAGAAAATATTTCAGAGACTTGTGATTCTTGTTGATTTGTAATATGTATTGGCTGCCGTCAGTCAATCTAATGATGTTTAAAAAAAAGGCTGGGCAGAAAAACGGACATTATTGTCTAAAATGGAATTAATTTTGCAATCGTGAAAATAAGGAAATAAATTATCTTTAAAATGAAATTTTTACAATAACCAAACTATTAAAAGTGTATCCATAACGTATTTTTATACAACTTTATTTAAATATGCATTTATATGCATTTCCCACAAAATAGGCCTGACATATGGGGTTTCTTACATTTTACCCTATTTCTCACCTCGATTACAAGGGATTCTTGTTTTATAAATGTTCTCACAAAAGTAACATGTTGTTATTTCCATATTCGTAAATGATGTGATAACGTTCCGTATTTCCATACTAGCTGAAAATAGTAATGCATAGTTATCTCTAGAGTGGTCATTAAATTTCCTATTTCGATGAATGAAATCAAGGTTATTTCCATTTTAATAAAACCAAATTTTTTAATAATTTATAACTATCTATTATGTTAATTACTAAAACGTTCCACTTCTTATTTGTCCGTCTTGTAAGATGAAAAAAATTTAAACTCAAAAGTACTAATTTAAATTTTCTAAGGCCCGCTTTCTGTCTAAAAAATACTAATATAAGAATCTAAAGTGCATCATCTGAAAATGAGTTCGTTTTGTGTTTATGTAATCAATGCTGCAATGCTGCAAACGCTCAGTCAATCAGATCAAAGAAATTTTTGTCTATAAACATCACTGCTACTATTGCGCAAGACCTTTTTTTTACTGCTGTTGGTAACATCTGTGTTCTCATCGCTCTGCTTTGTCTCCATTGTAGGAGAATGTAAGTTTTCAAAATTGTGCGGTTGTATATCGCCCCCGCGATTATATGTGAACCCCTTTAATTATGAAATAAAATTATGCGTTCAAAGGGCACATCTGTCTTCAGAGTGTGATCTTCTTATCTATTCAGCTGTTTAATTCAAATCCTCAAGTTATCTACACCAAAATGTCATATATTATAAATAAATACAAAACAAATGGGTAAGTTCTAATCCAATTATGCACTGTAAGCCGCAACAACTTGTGTAATTTAATAAATTAAATAATTAATTATTTAAACTCAATAATATTTAACTTGGAGTTAGGAGCTGGCAAAAGAAATGAAATAAAAAATGAGAAATATATCAGATATAAAACAAACGTCTCCAGCGTTGTAAATCATTAATTGCATAAATGTAAAATGTGCAAAGATAGAATGTACACTGCGAAAAAAACAAAAAATGGGACAGTTCTATATCTCCCGTTCATTGACGAAAATCAAACTTGCGTTTTCATGTCTCGAAAGCGCGACTTGAAAGCACGTCTCGAAAGCGGATATGTATTAGATTTATATATAGCATTGTTCTAATATAGGTATTTTGACACAAAATCGGACTTTTTCTGAAATAACATACCAATTGTTTTCCATATTTCGATTCTACGACTAAAATGACGCCAAACTACCAAGTTTTGTAAAAATCGCACGAGTAGTTTTTAAAAAATTAGCTCTCAAAATTTTAGCTCCTCAATGTTAATTGAGTTTGGTATATATTAATTAATCCTCTTTTTTATTAAACTTATTTGGATTCTTCCTTTCACATTTCGAAATTTAGGTTCATTCCAAATAAAATTCATCCATTTTTTGTGATTTATTTTTAAAATTTTTATTTTTAAATAATTTTTATAAATTTTTCAAAAACATTTTGACTTAAATCTATAAACGTTTTACCAGCATCTTAAAGTAGACGTATTTCTAAGCATACCTGCAAAAAATTACAGTTTTTTTATTGAAAGTTTCCGAAGATATAAGTAAATTTATATATTGGTGCGTTTTGAAATTTGGCATATTTGTTGAAAGCGATAAAACATCAAATGTGGTTTAGACACTTTGCTAAAATTATTTGGAAGTATAAACGCAGTGTCTTTTTCCGCTCATGCAAATAATGTGAAAAGATAGGAACGAGGTGGCGTTCTTTCCGCTGTGGTATAATAGAAGGGAAAGGAAAATTGGTTGCTATAATATTAAGAAGTTCTCCAAGTGAATTATTCTTGGCGCTACTGAAAAACATTGCGCCAAAATAAATTTTTGAATTTCTTCGTAAATTTCGCACCAAATTTCACAAAATGTAATATCAAGGCATAATTTGAGTCGTAGAATCGAAATATGGAAAAAAAAATTGGTATGTTATCTCAGAAAAAATCCGATTTTGGGCCAAAATACCTATGTTAGAGCAATGCTATGTATAAATCTAATATATATCCTAAGTCGCGCTTTCGAGACATGAAAAATGCAATTTGAAGTTTGTCAATCGGCCCAATAGAACGGGAGATATAGAACTGGCCCCCTTGATACAATGGATTTAAGATGTATTTATTATTTGTAGAGGCTCTACTTTATTTTTATTACCTTATTTAATTTATTTGAACTTAATTTCTAATTATTTGGCAAAATGTTTTCATTCCACATTAGCCTATTTCTACTGGGCTGAGCAATTTTATAATACGAATAACGACTGCTACAGGATAAAAGTATTTTTGCGATTTCTGCCGCGTATACTACTATTGTGTGTATATTTGTTTAAAGAATTACCTGCTCTAACTGATTGTGTTTATCTAAATCAAATGGAAGGCTTCCATGCTTTTTTTTTTAAATTATCTGGATCTCAGTGCATTTTTTGGTGGGGATTAGTAAGAATTTGGCAAAAATGCCCTTCTTCTTCTATCTTGTATGGGTTGAACTGATGAGGCCAAAAATTGGTTTTTAATTTATCGAAGTTTCAAAATTTAGAATAATTGTGTCGTTATCAGCTCAGAAACAGGCTGTTTCATCTACTTCTCACGTTACACCAACCTCTGAAGACGATGTACCAACAGATATGAATTCTTTCTACGTTTTTTGGTAGTAGCTTTATGATTTTTATATTTACATTTCTTTTGGCATATAACTAATAATTTACAAGGTTGAACACTCAATTTTACATTTTATATTTCTTCACAGTGGTTTATTAATTTTTTTTACTAGCTTCGTACTCCAAGTTGAATATGGAATGGGTAAATAAATATACAGTAATACGGAATGGGTAAATAATGGAATGGGTAAATAAATATACAGTAATACGGAATGGGTAAATAATGGAATGGGTAAATAAATATACAGTACAGCTTACAGTAAAAATTTACTATGAACCCATTCCTGTAAATAATTATTTATTTAATTTGTTCATATATATGCATATATATGAAACTCAAAGAAGCTAGTAGAAATGTTTCAGGGAATTCTGTTTACGCATCTATCTTCAACTGACTCTAATCCACCAACTACCAAGCGGTAAGATCTCTAAACACTTGTAGTTTGATTCAAGCACAAATCCCTGCGAATGTTCTGGCCTCATGAAAGTTTTCTCGAATTTTTTCCATGTGCAACATGACTATCAGCCAGATTTCCTTAAAACGTTCGTGCAAGTATTCATTCCCTTAGGAAGATAGCTGTCGTGTGCTCTCACCTTAATCAAATAATCTTACCTAACCAACGCATGTCTAGGGATGCCAGGAAGATCTCTGTTACCTCTTGCACTGGCAAGGGAGAACTCTGGTCATCCTTTGGTTTGTTTCTCCTTCATTTCTCCCTCCTTGAGCGATATTTTGGATCTTAAAAAATGTTTCGTGAATCCATCAGACTAGCTTTTCAATACCTCATTTTTAAAAAACGTTACAGGAAGCCTGGATCTGCTGATGTGACACGCCCTACGTTTTATCACATTTGCAATTTCTC